CATTGCAGAACATCCAGTCACAGCCATCAGATGCTTCTGTGATGTTACCACAGCACAATTACAAACTTGATGTTCATGCCCTCAATAGTCATCAACCTGGTCAGGTGAAGACTGTGTTCTCCAATCTTAATAGCAAATAACTAGGAGCAGTGCTTATCTTTGAGCAAGTCTTATGTCAATGTTTCCACATGCTCATTGTTGCTTGGTTTAAGTATCTGACTATTTTCTCAAGGGTCAGTCTTCTGACAAATTTTGTATCTACCTGAATTCTTCATTATGGTCAACAGGAAGTCTGGAATATATGTTGCCATCACTTTATTATTGCTTGGCAGCTATAGCTATCACAACCTGAATTTCTTACTTATCTGCACACTTCTTAATGGCAACATTGTTATAAACTAAAAGTGTGTTATGTTTGGACTCGAAAGGTAGCATTTCCTAATGAAGTTTGCTACCTATTTTTTGTTTGATTTGATAATATACATGCCAAATGTGCTGTTCTTAGCTTATTTTTTTGACCCAGGCAGATGCTAAGCAGTTAGTTCACACAGTGGCATTTTGGCTAATTGGAAACTAACCTATCACATGTTAATTTTCAGTTTGAATGTCGTGAATTCAGAGAATCAATTCTTAGCGTCATGCCTCATCATTGGGTAAGAATAGTACTTGTTTTCTTGTATTTAGCTTTCGTACTCTGTAACTGTTGAGCTCAGGTATGAGTACTCCTTTTCAGGATAGGAGAGAGGATACTACCCTACAACTTGCACATTTTAGGAAGCATAAAAGGAAACAAGTTAAGAAAACGCCTGGAAAGGCTGTTATTAATAGCGTGAACAAGCCCATTGAACACAATCCCCCTGGGAAGGATGCTTCCAATAGAATAGCTAGAGCGCTTGGGAAGGCTGCAGATATGGCTAGCTCAAATAAAGCCAGGAAGGTATGACACATAAGCATGACTGTTACATTTCAGATTTTGCCATGCCTTCTAGCAAAGATTACAGTCATCTCCCTGAAGCATCATGGATATCCTTGCATCCTTGCGGTGCACACATACTGCATGTTGTCTCTTTGTTGCACTTCTGCTGTTACTTGGTCCAAATAGATTACAATGCTCACACAGAATTAAGTCAAACACCCCATGGCTTTCTGCTGAGATGAAGCTTTTCTTTTACCGCAGGCACAGAGGATGCAGTACGTTCCAACAATCACTAATCATACTCAAGTTTGGTGGGTTCCTAATGTTGTTGTTGCACATGAAAAGGAAGGGATAGAGGCTGTCCATCTAGCTTCTGGACGTACAATATGCAAGGTCTACAGGATATATCCCTGTAACTTTATTTTACTTCAATTCGATGCAACCATACAGTATATCACCTCTGACTTGTTTTTCATTTTGAAATTATTCTCATTTCCAGCTTCATTTAACCGAAGGAGGCCTTCATGCAGATATTAATGGAGATGGAGTTCTAGACCATGTCCAGGTGTGTTAGGAGTGTATTTACACTGGAATTACTTTCCTTTACGTACCAACTTTTTCTTTGGTAGCTCTGGGCAGTTCAAATATGGATGTAATTCATAGTTTCTGTCTGTAAGTTTGAGAATAATTTGGGATGTCTGGATCCATTGAGTACTGCTCTCATAAGACTCTGTGGTGTGTGGTCTCCTGTAGATAGATGTTTATGCAACTATTAATCAAATGAGTTTGAGTGCTTTAGGGATTCAAATTAAATCCTTCTGGAAGGAGAAGTACTCCTCTGTCTATCCTTATAGTCTGATACGCTTTTATATCGTTTTATCCCAGTATGTCATAAAATGAGTTCAAATGATTTGTATTTCTTGGATGTGATTGTTATCTTGTATATCTCACGTGTAATGTGCATAAATTGTGCATGCATTAATATAATGTTAACTTGAGTGGTACAAGGGTTTCCTTAGCTAAAAAATAAAGTATCAGACATTTTGTTTACTGTTAATTTGATGTCTAAAACTTGATTTTGGAAATGACAGAATTAACGTGTGCTATTAGGGAGACAGACCCAACTTAGAGCCGTTCTAATATCTTTTACCTAATCGGTTCTTGTAACTTTTAAGTTGATCTTCTCTGCTGAGCTTGGCAAGCATTGGGCATTTGTTTCTCACTTTCTAGCTGCAACCTGCAACAATGTTTTGTTTACTGTTGGGGCATCCATTTGTAGAAGTAATGGCTGATAGTGATCTTTTGCTGTAGGTTGTTGGTGGAAATGGCATTAAAGAGCAGACTGTCGTGAGTGGATCAATGGAGGTGCTGAAACCCTGTTGGGCAGTTGCTACATCCGGTGTGCCAGTGCGGGAGCAACTTTTTAACGTCTCTATCTGCCATTACAACCATTTTAATATGTTCCATCATGGTGACTTCTCGAGAAGTTTTGGGAGGACATTTGATACAACTGGTTTAGAGGTTGCGACTCCTATCCTGGTTCAGACAGACGATGGCCATAAACACAGGAGAGGAAGCCACGGTGATATCATCTTTTTGACAAGCCGGGGAGAGGTCAGCATTTGTACACTGAGTGTTCCTTTTTACAAGTTGCTGTGGCTACTGATTTGTGGGGGTTTCTTTCATGTTGATGAAACCTTGATCCCTATATCTGCAAACATTGATGATGTGTTTGTGATTGTAGGTGACTTCGTACTCCCCTGGGCTGCTTGGCCACGATGCAGTATGGAGATGGCAAGTATCATCAGGGGCAACATGGTCCAACCTCCCGTCTCCATCGGGAATGATGGAGAACATAGTGGTGCCTACCTTGAAGGCTTTCTCCCTGCGTGCCTATGACCCAAAAGAGGTGATCATCGCCGGCGGCGATCAGGAAGCCGTGGTGCTCTCTCCTTCTGGTAGCATACTGGCCATGATCGAGCTCCCAGCGCCTCCCACTCACGCGCTGCTCCTGGAGGATTTCTCTGGTGACGGTCTCACTGACATCATTCTGGTAACGTCCGGTGGAATATATGGATTCGTGCAGACAAGGCAGCCTGGGGCTCTTTTTTTCAGCACGCTCGTGGGGTGCCTGATAGTTGCGATCGGCGTGATATTCGTGTCTCTGCACCTCAACTCGTCGAACGGCGGCAAACCCAGGGCTTCCTCGGCTGAATACAGATGATTTAGAGAAACGGTTTATGTGGTAGAAAACTTGTATGAGATGCCCAAAGTTTTGATATTATGCTAAGTAAGAGACTTTTGGTAATCCTATGCTATAGTCTATTAAACCAAATGAATTCGTGTTGTTGTATGATAGAAAAACTGTTCCTACCTATATATATCATAATAATACTGATAGCACAAGCTCGTTTTTTTTTTCGTTGTAATGTTGTATATTGTATAGTTATGAGTGGAAGGGCAGAAAAAACTAGGGTTGCAAGAGTAGGTTCAACAAAATTAGGTCCCAACTACATTTGTTATCGCAAGCGTTGGTGATGGTTTCCAAACTGGACGTGTTGACCTGCAGCTACCCTGGTTTTAGTTGTTGATGAAACCGGTGAAGGTTGATTTTTATTCATAAATATAGAAGAAACAAAAAAGCAATGCGGAGGTAGCTACACGAAGAGGCTTTTCCGTGTAAGAGTATGTAACCCTGAGTACCAACTGCAAGATTGAATTTAAAAAAATGAAATGTTGTTATTATATGTGTAGGTGGCTGACTACATGGACAGGACTCTTTCGGGGAAAGAACTCCTTGGTATCTATCGTCTTTCTTAAGTTGCCCACCGGTTTCCGTTCCATCTTACGTTAACGTCACAGATTCCAGAATCAAACGGCAGATACTTTAGCCCGACAGGCTCTTTTACATTCTCAGCCAAATTCTCTTAGCTTGGCGTGTTCTTGCTCTAATAGAGCGCATGTAATTCAGTGCCCGTTACAGGATGCACTTTCTTCTGTAGCCTTGAGCTCTGTAAGGCTTTTATCAGCTTCATGCTGTTGAATAAATGATGTTTGTTGTCAAAAAAAAATAGAGAAGGGAACGCTATGCTGTTCGGATCCGGTGACTAAAATTTAGGAGGTGTCGTGTGAGAGTGTCGCATATGATGTTTGGATACTAATAAAAAAATAAATTACAGAATCCGTCAGTACTCCACGAGACAAATTTATTAAACCTAATTAATCCATCATTAGTATATGTTTACTGTAGCACCACATTGTCAAATCATAGACTAATTAGGCTTAAAAGATTCGTCTCGTAAATTAGTCGTAAACTATGTAATTAGTTTCGTAATTAGTCTATATTTAATACTCCATACATATATCAAATATCCGATAAGACAACGACTAAAGTTTAGGAGAAGCAACCCAACGCCGCCTGGAATATTAAGGCCCCGTTTGGCAGGGCTTCACTTCACTAGGAAAGCCATTTTTTTGGCTTCAGCTCTACGAACAGTTCCACCGGTGGAGCTGAAGCGGTTTTGGTAAACTGTTTGACAAAATGGCTTCCATATGAGAGCATGTTTTTAGGGGCATGGAAGAGGAGCCGGGAGAAGCCACTTTTTTTTTGCTCCATCCCACCCCAAATTATTGTGAGAGCATGTTTTTAGGGGCTTCACCAGTAAAACTATTTCACTTTACCCCGTTTAACAGACAAACGGCTCCTGAAGCCGGTGGAGAAGCCCTGTCAAACGGGTGTTAGAGTTACCCTCTCCCGTGTTCGTTCGTCTGTCCGGTGGGTCCCGTCCAACCCACCCCGACCGGCGTCTTCAACTGCCTGCCGCTGCCGCTCAGGCTCAGCTGCTCGGCTCTTCTCCTTTGATTTGTTTTGTTCCCTTGCGTTTGGCTGCAGGCAGAGGCCGTCCGCCGAGGCCAACGCCGCCTGCCCCTGCCAGCTGCCGCGTCCTCCTCCTCCTCCTCCTCCTCCTCCTCCTTCGCATAACGACGCCGGCCATGCCAGTCAATAAGTAAATTCCGATTCCGTTCGTTTCCTGGAGGACGGCTAGACGTACGGGGGCCTTCCCGGCGACGCCGCACCGCATCCATGGCGATGGCCTTCCTGCTGCTGGGCCTGGGCTTCCTCCTCGGTATCCTCTCCCTGGCGATCGCGGAAGGCCTGGCGCTCCTCTGGGCCATCCGCAGCCTCACGCGCCGCTCATCGGCCTCACGTGCCACGCCGCCGCCGCCGCCACAACTCCCCGTCAACCCGACCCCGCCGCGGTCTGTGTCTCGCCACGGCCTCAACCGACAGGTGAGACCGGGAAGGTCGGCCATTCATATTCTCGATCGGTTCGGTTCATTCAGTTAATGTTAAGCAAAGCAAGCAAGCGCGCACGCCTGAGCCTTCTTCGGCTTGTTCATTCAATTCTCATCAAGGTTTGTCATACGTATTCTTATTTGGCCTTTCTTGGAGGACCTAGCTAACTCACAAACTCGTTCTAGTTTCCATCTTATTTCATCCATCCATTATTATGTATTGCAGTATATATTCCACATGTTCACGACTTGTACCTTAATTAATTGACATCTTCCCATTCTATATATCTATGAGTTAACAGGGCTTCTTGTGGATGCTGGAGCAACAAAAGACGCCCCCCGGCCCCAAAGACAGCATCAATCGCCCTTCGAATGGCGGTACCACGGGGATCAGGGACAAGAAGCTCATCGTCGAGGTTTTCCCTGTAAAAATGTCTGCCACACTTGAAGGACACTCGCTCACCTTGTCTGGACCTGATGATGCCTCGCAGCTAACCATTGACCTGCTCAGTTGCACAGTTGTTGCTGTTTCTGCATCCAATCTGCCCTCACGTAAATGGTTAGTGCAAATCGTAGCTAGCCTCTTAAAACATTCATCTCCTGTGACCTGTGGAGAGCCTCCAATAATAATAAATTCATTTTTCTTGTCATCAGCTAAAAAGCGTAACAACTTACTCAGTGTATGCATTATTATGCTTCTAGCAGCAGCAGTTATATGAATCCTTGACTTATGACAGAATAGCCAGATTTGCTATACTATAGATGCGCAATCAGAGTAGATGTTCATATCAAGTGACTGTAGTTTCTTTTCTCAGTTACTAATTATTGGTTTGAATTCTGCTGCCACTATATGATCGATTCACATGTCACATAAAGTTTGCCTAAAACCACCGCCAGTATGTATTTTCTTTCAGGGCCAAGAGGTATCCCATAAAACTGGAAAGCAAGGAATCTCATATTTGCAGGGGGAGCAAGGTATGCTATGTTTATGCAGACACCTCTTGGGAAAAGGAATCATGGTGTAAAGCACTCCGTCTTGCTTCTACTACGGACAAGGACAAACTCAAATTCCATGACATGCTGACTGGAGAGTTCCGCAGTTACATAGCCTCTTTGAAAGCTGGATACCCTTGCTTTCTGGGACCCTCAACACTCTCTAGTCAGGAACATGTGCTTGTGGACAACACTGTGAAGACTGATGGATCTTCAAAACTAGGTTTTCTGAAACGGTTGGCAAAGAAGGCATCCGTGAAGGCTTCTCAGGAGAGCAAAACAGGTATGGTGCCATCTAAACAAGATATAAAACAACCCAGTACGCCTAGCTCCTCTATGAGTTTCAACAGCCAGCTACCTGATTCCCCCAATGCAAAGGTGGATGAAAAGCTTGCCAATGATGGTACGCTTTGTTGGAACCTCCTAATCTCTCGGTTGTTTTTTGATGCTAAAATGAATGATGAGATGAACAAGGCCATCAAAGCACGTATTCAGGTCAGATGATGCTGACATTTTCAAGTGAATTTATCCTTTGTCCATATCTTAATATTGATTGGTTCCTGTTGGTCAGCGAACATTGTCAAACACCAGAACTCCAGCCTACATTGGTGAAATTACGCTTACTGACCTCAATCTTGGCAAGCTTCCACCATATCTGCACAGAATGAGAGTCCTCCCACCGGATTTGAACGAATCGTGGGCTTTTGAAGTTGACTTTGAGTATTCAAGTGGAATACTGCTGCATATCGAAACAAGACTTGAGGTTCAGGCGCCAGAGTTGGAAAAGGACATACTGAAGATCAATATTAAAGACGATTCTAATGGGGATGTGGGTTCAGATTTCCTTGATAGTATTGAGCAATATGGTAACCAATTCAGGCCTTCAGAAGCTTTGGGTTCTGCAGCAGAGGTTAATGATGAAGCAGGTTTGTGACGCTTCTTTCATGTGTTTTCTTCATTTGCTTATTTGTTATTGGAATCATTATTTGCAATGTCCGTAAACGATCCAATAAATAGTATGTGATGTGAGAACTCCATCACTTAATCTGTTCTGAACATGATGGTCCTCTAGAAAGCCAAAAGCATCATAACTTGAGGCTATTGATGACCTTTTGTGATTATGGCAGATACCTTAAGGAAGTCAAAGAGCACTGGGTGGGCATCAACATATATGCCAAGGTGGAAACGTATCATGAATTCAATAGCGGACCAGGTTTCACAGGTTAGTTCTTCCTTGTTTTGCCTTCTTTTCATATATTACCTTATACACATTTTTTTTGCGGGGTCACATATACACATTACCAGATGGACAATTGGTTGTGTGCTAAGGTGCAATCATATGACCATTTTCCATATTTATATATTTATGTGTAGTGTTTTGCTTCTGTTTGAAATTTAGCCATGAAGTTCTGACCTGAACTGTGCTTTCTCACTTTCCTTGCTGAAACAAAGGTGCCATTATCATTGGCGATTAAAATATCATCTGTTCGTGGAACAATGCGCATACATCTAAAACCTCCTCCGAGTGATCGAGTTTGGTATGGGTTTACGTCCATGCCAGAGATAGAGTGGGAGTTGGAATCATCGGTTGGGGATAGGAAGATCAGCAGCAGCTACATCGCCTCACTTATCGGCAACAGGATCAAGGTGTTTTACTTGGCTTCCATGAGTCATGACTAAGTTGTTATTTTTGTGGTTAATTTGCGTGGTTGAATATGGAGCATTTGGCTGCTGTCCTACATTTATACAGGCTTCGGTTCGTCAGAGCTTGGTGATGCCCAACTGTGAAAGTTTTCCTATTTCCTGGATGATATCAGACACGGATGACTGGGTGCCCCGCAGAATCGCACCTTTTATATGGCTGAACCGTGAGCCCACTGAGACTAGCACAAGGCGTGCTGCAGACACAACTAGAGAGATGCCAGGGGAAGCTTTCGCATCCAAGGCCATTGCAAAGAACAAGTCAAGTCCGCTGCCGCCTTCAAGAAGAATCACCAATGGATCGTGGAATAAGACAAACATAGGTATTGATGGGCCAGAGCAAGCAGAAGCATCAACGAGCTGGCAGACTTGGCTGGTTTCAGCAAGCAGAGCTCCTCTGCAGTCAAATGATGATGCAACAAGGGAACAGCTGAGGATGCCACTGCTGAGCTGCAGCGGAGATGAGACAGCAGGACTTGTGGAGAAGACATCACCTTCTGCTGGTGAGGAGGGAGATGCAAAGAAGAGGAAACGCGGTGTTCGGCGTGCACGGGTGATGGATCTGGGGAGGAGGATGGGGGTCAAGCTGGAAGAGAAGGGCAAGCATTTCATCAGAAAGATGCGCGAGAATGCAAGGAACAACCACCTGCTATTGCCGGACTTGGAGCAGGCCACCACTCCTGCTCCTGCTCCTAGTTAGGCATTTAGGATGTTGAATTAACTGCTACTCTGTTACTCGACAAAATGAAAATTCCTCAGTTACAGCGCCTAGCAACAGCTCCTAACAAGTGCAATGATATGGGAGACTGTTTGCAGTTGTATGTAAAAAGAGCTTATGAGTTATGAATGTACCACACAGCTGGAGCCAGATAGATGTATGCATCTCTTATCTCCCCACTGAATTAACACAACAAGCAAGTCATATTCGTCCATTGCCTGAGAATATGAGTACAAGTATAAATTGTGGTGGGTAGACTGGGAATAACACACATTGGGGATGGCAAGTATGTCAAGAAACTCATGCACTGCTATTTTTTTTCCAGAGAGCCAAAATGTAAGGAAAAAAATGGACTCTGCTCAACACAACATGGTGTGCTTTGTATTCATTACGCTTTGTTTGGTCAGATCTACACAGAACAGGACTGCTACATCTCATGTTTCTTAAGTTGCTACAAACAAAACAAGACCTTGGTAGGTAACTGCATTCCACGTCCCAAACTCAATTCAGTACATTCCCAGATGGTAAGCATCCCAAGGTACACCAAGTCACCAAGCATCCCAAAGGTACATTACATATTACGACTTCTGCTTGAGAGACGAAACAGCATGTTTTCTATGAGCCACCGGTCACTTACACAGGTAGGTCAATCTTGAGATTCCTCCAAGGCTTCCTTCTCCCTCTGCTGCTCCACTGCAAACCAGAGCATGTAAATCGTCCAACCAAAAAAGAACTAGAACAGATGAAGCATCTGCCAATTAAACATATATGAACACTCACATGCAATCTCAGCCAATGCTTTCTGTGTGCGCCTTTCCAGTTTATCAATTCTCTTCTGCACATCACGTTTCAGATCCCAATTTGGATTCTTTGGAGCTATGTTTCCAAAAGGATTCTGCATGCACAATATAATGTTGAAGGATTAATTGACAGTTTGTCTCACCAAAAGTACAAGGAAGAGATCTCGAAGATGGGAACACCAAAATTGTACCTCCACTTCCTTTGGTTCTGCAGTTTCAGCACTAATTGGGTCTTCAAACTTAGGAAGAGACACTGGAGCCAGCTTGCCACCTCGGAGTTGCTCATCATGGGGAAGATAGTTTCTGAACTTCATGGCTGGAAGCTCACTGCATCAAAAAGAATGCACACTTGACACTTCTATAAAATTATTATCTCACACAGCATTAAGAAATAATTCAGACTACAAAACCACTAATGCCAAGCTGGAGACTCTTATTTTCACGTACACAGAATTTCACTGAATGAACAAACATAAACGATCATCATATATGGAGTCTACAATGCAAGTTATGAATAGGATAAAAAGTGCACTACCATATACTCGGTAAAAGCTTGTCAGCTTCATTGCCTTACCCATCATCTTCAACCTCCTCGGCCTCCTCAGTGGGGCTACCATCCTCTTTAGCAGCCTCGCCAGGCGCATCCTGAGGACCTGGTAATGCTGGCTCTTCTGCCATCTCATGGTTGCCATTTCTGATACAATCAATAAAAATAAGAATCAGTGCCGCATGTGAACATAGGCTATAGACAGCATTTGGATTTTATGTCCATACATTATCTACATTGTTTGCTTAACTAAGCTAGTAGAGTTTAAAAACAACAGTGCCTTGTAGGTCAAAGAATCCACAGTGAAACAACTAGTAGGCCTGCCAATCATTGCATTTACTCAATATAAACAGACTGAAATAAAGTCGTCAGTTTTAGTGACATTAATTAATTAAAAAAAATAACAAAGAAATTATTCTAGAGCATTGAACTTCTGTCTTAGTGATACATTCAGAATTTGGATAGCAGGAAGTATTTTCGATAAAGGATGTTCAGAGTGAAATTCAGAAATCACAGTGCCTTTATAACAGTTTATTGTACCAAATGAAATTACCCTTTAAATTAATATAGAGAATGAATATTGGGCAGTACTTCTGGACAGGGAGGCACAACATATTGTATCGTTTATTGCGGCAGAATAGTTGATAAGGTCAAACTCTAGCGAACATAGCTGAATTGTGGCAAAAAGGAAGAAGAAAAGAAAAAGGAAACCATACTAGTTAGCCTGTATGGAACAATTGAAGCATCTGATATCTCCACTATGCTACACACAAGAATGGATTACTCAGTTGAAGAGATCACAACGCAGCATATGTGTTGGATGGTGAAGGAGTTGCTAAAGCAAAAGGCAAAAAAGTGTGCCCCTAAGGTTTGTGAAAGTGGCCCCTGGTGTCCGCACAGAACTCATCTCGCCTTTTAACTTGACACCTTATGACGAAGCCTAAACCCATGACAACAAGCAGGAAAAAAGAGCATGCCTTGATTCTTAGAAGAAGGGGCCTCCATGGCGTGTGAATATATATTCTAAGTGAAGGCCCACAGGGAAATGCACTAGTAGTTGTCAGTTGTCACCAGTCCAAAATGACAATAGTGTTGGCACTAAACTTTTCAGAGCAAAATTAAGAAAAGGGTCCAAAGGAGCATAGGGATATCCTCGATAAACAGTCATCAATCAATGTGGCACTAGCCAGGGCCTAGGAGCGGCAACAACGAACTAAGTTCAATGTCATATAGAGTGTAGATCTGCAACCTTGAAAAGGTATTCCAATGACTGCCTGCTGGATTTACAATGTGTGCGAGAGCCACGCAAGTGCAGACAGTTATGATCATTTTACCTACTAGTAACTAACTAACATCACAGTTGACCTGCCGCTGCAATTATTTACGTGCGGAGTTATCTAGTGAAATAGGGGAGGGGAGAGGAGAGATTTTACTGATGTTCTCCGTCGGTGGCGGGGGTGGGGGCGCCGTCAGGGGTGGAGAGGAGCTCCTTGGCGGCGCGGAGGGCGCGGAGACGCTCGCGGCGTGCAGCGGCATCCATATCTTCCTCTTCCTAGCGTACGGGAAGGAGGCGAGGGGAGGCGCGGGGCAGTGGCTAGGCTAGGGTTTCGAGGGAAAGTTTCGCCTGTCTCGCGGGCATTTGAAGAGGACCAGAGGTAGAAGACGAAGGCTTTTGCTTGATGGGCCTTTGGGCTTGTTGGGCTCCGGAACGGGCTCCAATTTTGATCATGAACGCAAAATCACTTTTTTTTACCCCTTATCTATACTATACTTTAAGAGAGTGAAGGAGTTGAAAAATAGCTCTCACCCCCACCTTGCATCAGGACCCTTGGATTAGTTGATATATTTTAACCTAATGGTCTATTATTAATTCAAATGTGGGCCACGCCAAGTCTTACGGCTACCGTAAGATTTCTTACGCGTTCCTGCCATTCAGCCCAGGAGTCGACGCCCTCGTGCCAATTTTTTTCTCACCATCGACTTTCTTACCCGCTCTTGTACCCGCATATCGGCAAGCCGGTGCCTTATCTTGCTTTTTCGTTCCCCCCTTCAACCCTCCGGTCCCGATCCACGCAGCCGCCCCAACCCAGGCCCCCGAGCTCGCCCTCTGCTTCACCAGGCAACTCGCACCTGTCGTCGCCGGAGAGGGCGCCCCCAGCGTCGCCGTCGAACTCTCCTACCACCACATCGACCACGACCGAAACCCGCTCCCCCACGGCAAGCATCACGTCGCCGTCTTAGCCGACGTCTCCGTCGGCGACCCCGCCAGCCCCGAGCAGGTGCACCTCGCGTTCGCGGATGGTGTCGACGAGGTGCGGGTCCTGTTCGTGTGCGGAGACCACGGGGAGAGGGGCGTCAGGTACGGGCTGCAGAAGGAGGACGAGAAGGAGTGGAAGGAGGTGGGCACATATGTGAGCACGTACGAGCAGAAGCACATGTGCGATTGGCCGGCGAACAGCAGCGTCGCCTGGAAGGATCCGGGATTCGTCTTCGACGGCCTCATGAAGGGATTGGAGCCCGGAATGAGGTACTTTTACAAGGTACCGTGAATTATCCCCTACTATAACTTGGAATGGTTCAATTTTTCTGGTTTTAGGTTTGGCTCTGTATCATTTTTTTAAACAAAATCAGGATTTTGCTTATGTAAATTTTGTTCCAGAAACAAAAAGGTAGTAGGTCCTCAAGCCATATATGCAGCAGCCTAATGTTGCAGTTGGGTTACCTGAGGTGCACAAGGGTTGGAATTAACTGTGCTTTAGAGTTGTAACACCTCGGTGTTAAGCGTGCATTACCATTTCATCCCATGAGCATAATCATCATCACCTCATGCATAAGCATCATTCACGCATTCCATTTCGAAAGAAATAAAGTATCATTTCATGTGATGCTTAAGTTGATTGAAAATTTATTCATGTTTCAAACGATGTGAAATGCCATGCTCATGTTTGGATGTCATGGTTCTTGTTTTGATCACTAAGATAGCTTATGAATATTTAGGATACAATTTGGAGCCAAGTTCATATTTAAAGTTTGCCAAATTTTGCTTTTAAACAATTCTCCAAAAATTAGGGTTTTGAGTTAATATCGATTTTATTTTGTAATTCAAAATCTATCTGGAATTGGACTTTGGTCATAAAAGCAAAGTTGTAGATCTTGAAAAATGGAACAACTTTTATTTTTACACCAACTTTTGAAACTGTTTTGAAATAGTTCAAAATTTCGTTTGAATGAAAATGGAATTGAAAATAATTTGAAAAATCTCATTTTTCACCTTACTGGGTCGCCTCCTCCTTTTCGGCCTAGCTGCACAGGCCGGCCCGGCCTACCTCCACGCCGCCGTCCGCTCGCCCGCACCAGCGCCCCGACCGGCGTCAGGACGCGCTCGCTGCGTGGCGCCATGCGCCGGCGACGCACACCGTGCGGCAGCCCCGGCCTGCCTCGCCCTCCACGCGCTCGCCTCCATCTGCCGAGCAGCGTCCGCCTCCCCTCCTCCATCTCATTTTCGCTCTCGCTCGCTCAGCAGCAGCAACAGCCGCATCGCACGCCCGCCCTCGCCACCGCGCGTCGTGCCTCGCCGGAACTCGCTCGCGCGGCCGTCCTAGCTCACCGTTGAACCCTCCATCTCGCCCGCAGCTCCGCCTCCTCCTCGCGCACCTCGTGCTCGCCTCGGTAAGCCGTGAGAAGCTCCCTCTCCCTGGGAATCTCTCACCGGAGTTGTGGCCGACCTCACCGGAGCACTCCGCTCCGTGGACCTCGCCCCTCCGTCCTCCTTCTCGCTCTCCCTTCACGCGCACGAACACCGCACGAGCTCGGTGAAGCTCCCACACCACCTCTCGCGCCCCCTTCTCGGCCGGAGATGGCCGGCCGTCGGTGAGCCGCGCCTCCGACCCGCCATGCGCGCCGCCGAGCTTCCTTCCGAGCTTCTCCCGTGCCCGTTCTTGGCGCATCGGGTCCACCTTGTCGCGGAGAGCCCCTGGTGGTGACCTCACCGCCAGCAAGCTCACCGGCGGCGAGAGCCGGCCGGTCAACGACGGCCCTGCCTCGGCTCCGGCTGACGCGTGGGTCCGGCTTGACTGCGGGTCCCGCCTGGCAGCCCCTCTGGGTGCACTGCACCGGGTGCACCTAGCGGTTTTGGGTCGGTGGCATTTCAGTATTAAAGAAAATGATTTCAGAAATTGATTTACAAAGCTTGTAAAATGTATATCTCCAGTTATATTGCTCCAAAAATGGTGAAACATATTTTGTTGTGCTTCTTGTCACCAGATCTACATGATAAAAATATTGCATGTCGTTCTTGAGATACTTTTCTGTGGATTTTTATTTAATCATTGAAATTGTTGTTTTCTTGAGAAAGTCATAATAAATCATAGAAAGATCAAAAAAATATGATTCCAAGTTTGTTACTCTTCTTGTGTAATGTACTTCCTGTGAAAAATATATTCCATACATGTCCTATAGAAAGAGTATGAGGTGTAGTTCAAGTGCCTTTAATGGCTGATTTTTGTTATTTTTGCTAGAGAGCAAAATTTGTATAAAACATGCACGTGATAATTTTTGTACAGTGATTATTTGCTGTGTAGAACATAGGAAAAATATTATATCTGTTGTTTGACACTTTTCATAGTACAAAGTATTTTCATGTTCATAATTATGCCATAGCTTATCATTTTTGTGTAGGCTATTTCACTTATCCAAATACCATAAAAATCTGATGATAGACTACTTAGGGCAGTACTGTGCTATGGTATTTTTCTAAGATTTTTCTAAGCTATAAAAATAGATGTTGTTATTCAAACCTATTATTAATTTGGGTTTAATGAAATGTTGCCTTATGTGTGATTAAGAAATTAGTGAAGCTTTGGTGTATCTTTGAAGCATTTAATGAGATGTGTTGACTCAGCATATTAGTAGTAGAAGAGAATGCAGTAGATGACATGTGCTTGTAGTATATGTTCTTGGATGATGTTGACTACCTTGCATTTAAGCATATCCATTGTGTTCATTTCATCCGATGCACTTTTGCATAAGCACTTACGCACCTGCATCATACAGGATCGCAAACCGAGAGCTCAGTCGTCATACCCGAGGAGCCCGAGGAGCAGCTCGAGGTGCAGCCGCAGGAAGTGACCGAAGCAGACGAGGAGGACGTTGAGGAACTTCCGGAGTGCCCCGATCACCGCCCGAGCTCCTTCGAGAGAGGCAAGCCCCAGAGCATTTTTCTCCCCGGTTTGCAATTATTAATTAAATGCTTTTCTTTAATTGATGCATTACGTTCAGGAGTTGTTTGCAACCGTTGCTGCATTATACCTTGTCTATCTTTGTTATACTGTATCCTTGTTACCCTGGTATCCGCAGTTGAGTCAATGCTTAGCTGGCTTAGACCGGTAGAAGTCGGGTGATTTCCTGTCACCTGCGAGCTATAGGTGGTTACCTGGATCTGCTTGGAGAACTATGTAGTCATGGTATAACTAAGTGTTAAATAAAGTTGAGACCGGACGGAGACTTACAGAGTTTTGGACTGTAGTGCTTTCCGTCTGTGTCGATTAAGGACCGACCGTTGTTGGGCCTCAGGTCATGTTGAATGTATGCCTTACATTTAGCTGGCCGAATAAAGTACCTTTTGACCGTGAAACTGGGAGATTATTCGGGCCGAGTAGATTGCTCGCAGCGCACTGTGCCGGAGCAGGTGTGGTAGGATACGGGGGCGCGAAGATAAGACCAAAGAGCAGTCGGTCGGCCCCCGGGTACATGTGGTTCCTGGCAAACTCGAGATTCCTAGATAGTTGACTCGGTGACCGATACCTCACTTTAGCGGGTGAGTGAGGTTTGTGTAAGGAATAAATCATCAGCTGGTTAGGAATCGATTCGAATCGCCATTGCTCCTGGATAGTGAGCACTTGACTTGAGTGACTTCATCGTAGTAATGTTGATGGAACACTTGGATAGTTATAATGAATATGACCTTATGAAAGTTGTTAATGATCATTATTATTTGTTTAATCACATGTTTGCTCTAGTATAGGTGCAAATGTAGTCGACAGGTTAATAATAATTAACTTGACAATAATGCTTTTGGAAAGGTTCTTGAAATACTAAAAATGTCGTTTTTTGCAAATGAGTCAGCTACCCTACTATAAAGCCCTTCATAATTCTTGGTGTCACTTTATTTTCGGTTATGTCGGGTAAGTCTAGCTGAGTACCTTCTCGTACTCAGGATTTTATTCCCACTTGTTTCAGATGGACAGATGTATTACGGCTACTGTATCAACTGCCTTTATCCTGCGATGGGTGATGCTTAGGACTATGGGCATGGTCATTCCTTATGTCTCGTCTGATGCTTTTGTTGGAGATGATCACTAGCTGACACTGTATTTGAACTCCGTGTGAGTGTGTGTGGTTTTGAATAAATGGCTTCCGCTATTTCTATTTGAACTCGTTTTGTAATAACTATGTTTAAACTCTGATGTATCTGAGATGCGAACTTTTATGTAATATGTGATGGTGACCGCTAAACTTATTACGATCTTGGCTGGTATGTGAGTTGGTTTGAAATCCTTCGTGATTTCACGGACTACCGGGTTATACGGGCTTAAGTTTGCTAAATCGTCTGCTCTGGCGGATGATTTTCTTACTTAATTTCGTATAATTAGTCGATTCTGTTATAAGAGTGTGCTGGATGGATCATTGTGTTCCTAAGATTAAATTGTGTTGATTCAGAATTGGCAGCATAGTGAGATTTGTTGATTCAACATTGGCAGTGTAGTAAGATTTGTTATCTATGCAGATGCAAATTGATAGCCCTTACTGTATTTTGCAAGCTTGAGGAAAGACGAGCTGTCCAAATTAAGCTGACATCGTTTGTCGCTAATTTATTTTTAGGCATGGAAAATCTCAGCTGTTCTCAATTACTGAGAGAGATCGAACAGCTATGGCCGAGGAGGCTTAGGAGCAGTAAGGTCAAACCTCATGTATTTACGTGTGTTATCGTTTGCTAATTTTAAAGGCAGCTAGCTAGCTAGATACTCCACGAAGCCTCGGGTGTGAGCGTTTAGCTGAATTTTAGAGACATCACTGAATTTGATGTGAACATTACGTCCTCGGAATCCATGCAGGGGATCAAGGAATTTCTATTTGAAATCCTTCTCAACTCTCATCTCGGTTCTCCATTGGTCACCATCTTCTCTACAACGATGAATCTCTTGTGTCATTCTCATGTACAACACTTTTTAGAGCAAAGACCGCCGCCACCCCCGAGCTCTGTGGTGCTTGCCTCAAATGACCGAAGCCAACGACCTCTCAGACGGGTCCGTGTCATCGCCCGGGATAGCGATTTGCAATTAATTACTTTGATTACGGGTGAATGGCGAGGATCGTGCAAATGGTAGGTGGCCCACGGTGGATTGATATGGAGCGTTAGATTTAAAGATACTTGATTATCTAAGGGTCTATATTAAAGATGGGTAAGAAAGTTTAGGTGAAAAGGTATTCTCAATTCCTTACAATGACGATCGTGATAAGAAACCTTGTTGTTTTCGCTTTAAATTTAGAAAATCTTTCTTTTGATGACATGATTGGATTGGGTCGTGTTTGCTTATAGTGCTTATATTTGCTGCTGCTTGATGATGCGATTACTAAGGATGACATTAAGGTCTTCGCGACGGTGCCGTCGAAGTCGATTAATCGAAGTTTCCTAATCTTGCCATTTGGTACGAGACCATCTCGCGGTTGTAGCCTCAAGGTTCGATTTATTTCACTGGTTGCAAATTTTTAAGTGTAGTAGGTTGATGTCTTTCACTGGTTGCAGGTTCAGGTTTGATTTATTTCACTGTTTGCAAATTGCAAATATGTAAGTGTCGTACATTGATGTCCTTCATTGGTTGCAGATTCCCTGATAAGACAGTTGGTCATGCTGCTGAGATTCCCTGATAAGACAGTTGGTCATGCTGCTGAGGTTTGTTCTCCCCATCCTAAGCCATACTGTCCCATTTTCTTTGTTTATATCCATCTGTCTTATTGGTCAAGCAATGAGAAATAGAAGAAAGCAAAACTGTTCTTTTCGATAGTTAGTCAATGCTTTTGCTTTGGTGTTCCTGCAGGTCGCAAAGGAAGTTGGGTTTGAGCTACAGCCACCAGGCGAGTATAAAGGGCAGACCCAGTGTCCCACATGAGTGGGGTCTGGGGAAGGAAAAAACCGAGGTAAGCCTTCAAATCACATTATACCATAACCTTCAAAGAATAATTTTGTAACGTAATCCTTCTCTACTTTGTTTCTTGACAATAGGTGCTAGGAACATAGGGTGGCTTAGGACTATATAATATGATTTGGAGTCTTTGCAGGGTACAAGCTACCCCACTCATTATCATGTTGTTTGGGGCTACAACAATTTGCTGCTGATGGTGACAATTTATACTGTATTTTGTTAAAAGGTTACATTTTTAAATGGATGTAATCTCCTTAATTTTTAGTTGAATAATTTGTTTATTCCTTTGCACTATCTCAGAGTATGGTTGCAGTTACTTGGCTATAGATCAAATACAATTTTTTAAATAATCTGTGCATCGAATATGGATGTGTTTTGAAATAAACATGGTGACTTGATTTTCACTTTGCTAGCTTTTTTACATTATGTAACGGGGGAGGACAATGATGAAGAAGAGTCGTAAAAAATGACATTATTGTTCCTATGATGTTTATGAATTTTTTAATAGACACGTGCATGTCGCTGTGCACGTTTGAAATAAATATGGTGACTTGATTTTCACTCTACTAGCTTCTTTACATTATGTAATGGGGGAGGACAATGATGATGAAGAGTTGTGAAAAAATGACATTATTGATGTTTATGAATTTTTTTAATAGACACATGCGTGTCGCAAGTGCATGGCCACTAGTAACTCTTATAAGGCCCCTTTGAAATACATGAATTTTATAGAAATTGTTTAAAAATTTCACAGAATTCAGTTCATTTTTAGAAAAACACATAAACAAAAAAAAAGCCCTGCCTTCCGAAGGGGGCCTAAACCATTTGTCTCCTCTCTCTTCGATAATTTGGATGGCAATTTTGCTGATATAACACTAGGTCAGAGAGGATAAATCACACTAAATTAAAAGGTTAAGGAGATAAATTGGACTACAAAAATATAAGAGATAAATTGACTAGAAATATTAATTTTAAAACATCTAAAAGTTCATAAAATAAAATTTTAAAAATCTATACAAATGTTCAAATCAAATCAAAATCCAGAAAGCATACACGGAACGTGGATAGCGAGCTGTGCGGGGCGGTTTGTTAGAGGGAGCAAATCTTAGCCGGACGCAAGCAAGCAAAAAATAATAATAAAGGGTGGCGATGCTCCGGCTGGCCGGCTCCTACCCTCGCCTGCCCCCTCCCGTGCTTCTCCCCCGCGCGCATCGCTCCTTCTCCCCAGCCCTCGCCGCGTCCCCGCTCTCGCGCCGCCGCGCTCTCCTCCTCCTCCTCTCCTCCTTCGGCATCGGGCCCCTCTCCTGTTACCGCGGCCCTTCCTTCGCAGCGATGGCGGCGGCGGCGGCGCCGCCGGTGGCCAAGAAGGTGCCGCGGCAGCTCGTCGAGCACGGCGACGTCCGCGTCGACAACTACTACTGGCTCCGCGACGACTCCCGATCCGACCCGGACGTCCTCGCGCACCTCCGCGCCGAGAACGACTACACCGCCGCCGTCATGTCTGGTCAGTCGGGGGCTTGTTGGAGCTTTATGCCTTCCTTTTCCATCGTGTGCTTGGCTTGCCGCGCGGGTCAGGTCAACCAAAGGTGCCCTTAGCGTGCTATCAGGCATTAGCTAGGGATCCATTGTTTTGACATGACAATCACTTGCCAGTCCTTCCAACTTATACCAGGTTAATCTGTGCTGTTGTTATTATCACTTGGAATGTAGTTGTATATCGTCTGTTCAGACTTCAGAGTGGCTTTCTAGCTCTCTAGTCTGGAATGTAGTTGTATTACACTACACGAGATGTTTCCTAGTAGAGTGGTACTACGGATCATTGTGCAGTTATTATTTCAGTCATCTTCTGCTAACCCTGGTAACTCTCATCTAGATGTCAAGCAACTTGAGGACGAAATATATGCTCAAATCAGAGGAAGAATCAAGGAAGACGATATAGATGCGCCTCTTCACAAAGGGCAGTACTACTACTATGAGAGGACATTGACTGGCAAGGAGTATGCGCAACACTGTAGGCGTCCCGTACCGACTGATGCTCCTATTACAGTCCACGATGTGATGCCATCAGGACCTGATGCCCCTGAGGAGCATATTATCCTGGATGAGAATGTTAAGGCTCAGGGCCATGACTACTACAGCATCGGAGCTTTCAAGGTGTAATTTTGGCCCACCTACTCCTTCTGTCAGTTTCTATGGTTCTGTTCCTCGTGCCTGTGCCTCTCAGATATCTCTTATATGTATCTAACATAATTTAAATTTGAATGCTTGCTTCAGGTCAGTCCCAACAACAAGCTAGTTGCTTACGCAGAAGACACTAAAGGTGATGAAATCTACACGGTCTATGTCATTGATGCAGAGAGTGGAGTATATGTTGGCCAACCACTTAAAGGAATTACTTCTGACATTGAGTGGGCTGGTGACGACCACCTTGTTTACATTACAATGGATAGCATACTTCGGCCAGATAAAGTAGGTTGCTCGTTCCTCCGCTTCTTCTAACTCCTACATGGCATGCCTCTTGAGTTCAGTTGAAACTTCTGGTGACCTTTTTAAGTTTGTTTAGTTATGATTGTTGTAGCCTACCCCAACTTGCTTGGGACTAAAAGGCTTGTTGTTGTTGTTAGTTATGATTGTTGTGCCTGTAGGTGCTATGTTATCAGATCTTTTTTTTTGGTAGTGTTTTTTATTATTACATTTATCTTACCTTTGTAATGGCTTTTGCAGGTATGGCTACATAAGTTAGGGTCTGATCAATCAAGTGATGCTTGTCTGTATCATGAGAAAGATGACACATTTTCTCTAGGCCTTCAAGCTTCTGAAAGCAAGAGATATTTATTTGTTGAATCTGGAAGCAAAAATACAAGCTTTATATTCTACCTGGACATATCCAAACAGAACAAGGAACTTGCTGTTTTGACACCTCGTGTGTATGGCATTGATACAACAGCTAGCCATCGTGGAAATCATTTCTTTATTAAGAGGCGAAGTGATGAGTTCTACAATTCTGAATTGGTTGCTTGCCCACTGGATAATGTAGTTGAGACCACTATACTGCTACCACATAGAGAAAGGTACTTACATTATTGCCATACAAGTTTCAGAAGACATTTTTGTGGTTGATATGTAATGTACACAGTATCACACTTTTTAGGGAACAGATTTAGACTAACTGATTTAATTTGTATGATGTTATCTTTGCTAACTTGCTCTTAATTAATGAGGAATAATCTGTAAAAGTTTACAACAACAACAACAACAACAAAGCCTTTAAGTCCCAAACAAGTTGGGGTAGGCTAGAGTTGAAACCCAGCAGAAGCTGCCGACCCGGCCCTTGCCCATTTAACACCATACCCGGGTTCCGATATGGCGCGTCGCTAAGAGGGTTACGCCCCAACGGTTTTCTTTCGGGTTTCATCTCCATTAGAATGGCTAGATTTAACGTTGGCTCGCCACGCCTATCACAACCCTCCTCCTTTTCCAGGGCTTGGGACCTGCTATGTTGACACAACATAGGCGGAGTTAATCTGTAAAAGTTTGCATAACCATTTTATAGTGCAAGTCTCGGTTTTCTTCTTGGATATTAATTGTGTTTTCTGAATGAATACTGGAACCCTAGGGGATACTTTGCTGCTGCAGCATAGACGTTTCTTTTTTAAAGTTCTTTGACATATGAGAAAAGCAGGAAAGGGATGCATTCTTGTATTAGCATTGCTTGTTACTGATTGGTACTATTTGTATTGCCAGCTTTCAAACTTGTGGGTTCCAACTTCCAACCAGTTACTATTTGATTGCTTCACTGTATTTCCAAAATTTTATTGCATCAGTTGTAAGATTATGAAGGAATGGGAGCAAAGCAATTTGCATTTAGTTTGACTTTACCATACCAACCTTAGCTTTTGGAATATGGTTCATTCTATATCAATATTGGATCTTCGATAGGATGGTAATCAAAGGTTTTGATTACCACTGCTTCCTCGGTTTTGTTGAGTTAGGCTCTATGTAAGAGGCTTGATGCTCTGGCAGTGATATACCAGGGTTCAAGGAAACTGCAGCTAATAGAAATTTGCATGAAGCTACTAATTAAGTGATTCATCCTGCACTATTACATGTTTATTACAAATTTTGTTATTTATGTTTTGCTCTTCTTAGCAATGGATGCATTGTTTGTTAAAAATGCATTGTCAGTTGACAACAAAAGTACATAACACCTCACAATTGCATCAAACTCAAACTCCCTTCAGTGTGAAAATACAGGACTTCCAGCTCTTTGACAACCATGTTGCTGTATATGAGCGTGAGAATGGCCTTCCCAAAGTAACTGTATATCGGCTACCTGCTATTGGAGAGTCAATTGGACAACTTCAGGGAGGTCGAGTGCTTGATTTTATTGATCCAACATATTCTGTGGACCCTGAGGAGTCTCAGTTTCATTCATCTGTTCTTCGATTTCATTATAGTTCAATGAGGACCCCGCCCTCTGTTTACGACTATGATATGGATTCAGGGGTGTCTGTTCTGAAGAAGATCCATACTGTAAGCTAGAGTTGCACTATTATTTATTTATTTATTTTCCGGACAGTTATTGATTTATTTTTATTTATTTTTACAAACCCATGGCGATCTGATCTTCTCGATATTCTTTAGGTTTTAGGCGGATTTGATGCATCAAATTATGTAACAGAAAGAAAATGGGCTACTGCTGCTGATGGCACTCAGATCCCCATGTCCATTCTATACAGAAAAGATCTTGTGAAGCTTGATGGCTCAGACCCTATGCTACTATATGGCTATGGCTCCTACGAGGTACATTCTGTTTGTTTATTTTCCTTTTTAATATTTCGTAAACTGTAATAAGGGAAGTCTTTCTGCAATATTTAATGCCTTGAACATATTTCAAGATTGGCACATACGCTGTGCTCGCTGTGGCTGTGCTGCAGTTCTAAACACTTGCTTCAACTGTAGCAGTGGCTTGCGGCAGCTGCAGCCGCAGCAAGCACTGCTGAGCAGGCTGATAGTTTATGTCAACTTCCTTTGGTCATCTTGGGATCCAAATGATTCATTTGAAAGTTTATGTGTTCTTTTTTATATGTGCAGCATGTACAGACTGTACTTGCTTTTTTGCTAATGTGTCATCATGCATTCATTTGCTATTATTCATCGTTAATTTCAAGTGACAACAATTCTTTAGCATTCAATTACTTTTGTGTTTCCTTGCTGAATGATATACTTTAAGTTTTGATACCAGAAAGATTCCTTGTCAGGACCCAGTAAGGCCTAGCTAGTAGCAACTGTATGTGGCGACTTGGCATCAAGACTATCAGATGGTTCTAGGTTTCAGCAATAGTAAATATAACAGAAGTTATTGTAATAACCGTGCTCTTATTTTCTCTGTTCTTTTGGCTACAGATATGCATAGATCCGAGTTTCAGAGGGTCAAGATTCTCTCTGGTAGATAGGGGCTTTATATATGTGATAGCTCATATCCGCGGTGGTGGTGAAATGGGCCGGAAGTGGTACGAGGATGGGAAACTATTGAAGAAGAAAAACACTTTCACGGATTTCATTGATTGTGCTGAGTACTTGATAAAAAACAAGTATTGTTCCAAGGAAAAGCTTTGCATCAATGGCAGAAGTGCAGGTGGCTTATTGATGGGTGCTGTCCTAAATATGAGGCCTGACTTATTCAGGGCAGCTGTTGCTGGAGTGCCTTTTGTTGATGTTGTCACAACTATGCTTGATCCAACTATCCCATTGACAACGGCTGAATGGGAGGTATCCATTTCGTCAATTGTGTTATTTTTTATTTCCATGTTTCAGTGTCATATTGCAATTTTTATTATTAGCAAGAATAAGAAATAGAGATATGGGCCCTTTTTAGAAATGTTCTTTGGTGCCCTTTTGTCCGTTGCCTCTTTGCTATTGATGAAATATATGGATGTACCACCCCAGTAAATTAATGCCAATTGTTGTTCACCCAAACACTAAAGGAATGCAACCTTTTGAATACCCTGTCCATATGGAAGTCAGGCTTGAGCTTCAGTTGGGTTGGGCCATATTAGTCCTGACTGGGATTAGACTTAGGCAAAAGATACGTACATTGTCCTTGAGCAGGTATCAGGGCTAGGATATGATGATTCCTTGCTATAATATCTATAAATATTCGTTTATAATTTTAACACTATGTTTTTGAATTATCTATTTATTTCATTATGCCTTGTGTCTGGAAATCGGAATGGAATATTTACCACTTGCACGATAGGGATGTTTTGCAAGCTGTACCATGACAATTGCAAATCAACATGCTTTATACGAGCTGCGTGCTTGCCCCTTATTCGAGTTATCTACTTGTTGCCAGTTCTTATCAATCCACGTGTTGTTGTCCTTGGTTTAGGAGTGGGGTGATCCAAGAAAAGAAGAATACTATTATTACATGAAATCATATTCTCCTGTTGACAATGTAAGTGCTGATCTTTATATCTCTGTTCAAATATGTACTAGGGTATGAAGCTAGGATGATGCTTATTTCTGGTGAATGAATATAATCAAATAGTGCTGGAGGAGTATATTAGTGACACTGCCTATTTTTTCCCTGTTATTTATTGGTGAAGACCTGTGAATGCATGAATATGTAGTGTTGTTCTGGAATGTGATAATTTGCACTGTTGAAAGAGGTGAAAAAGCTAGGAATTGTTGATGATCTTTGGTATTTTTGGTTCCATTAATATTAATATAATAAAGAAGAATACTATTATTACATGAAGTCATATTCTCCCACCAGCATGAACTTCAAATCGACCACAAATGTGCATTGCCCTGTGTTATCTGTTTGTCCATGCCACAGGTGACGGCACAAGAGTATCCCAACATTCTTGTAACCGCTGGCTTAAATGGTAGGTGCCTCCTTGATACATTCCAAGTTGCTATTTAGCATTTCTAGTTGGTCTGTGATAGCTAGCTCGGTATCTGACTTGTGCGGATGGTGGTAACGAACCAGATCCGCGCGTGATGTACTCTGAGCCTGCTAAATATGTGGCGAAGCTGAGGGAGCTGAAAAGAGATGACAACCTTCTGCTGTTCAAGTGCGAGCTAGGAGCTGGACACAACTCCAAATCGGGAAGGTAAACCGATGGTTCTTTGTTGGTTTTGCTAGAGCTAGTGTACAATATTAGACGCTGAATCAAAGTAAGGAGTAGTAATTTGGCTGGGGTTATGATTGCAGGTTCGAGAAGTTGCAGGAGGACGCGTTTACTTATGCGTTCATCCTCAAGGCGCTGGGCATGACTCGGAAGCTGGCTTCGCTATGAATTTGATGGATGTGAGCCTGGAGGAATTCAACTGAATTTGATCGAATATGCATGGAATCGAATTCGGAAAGTACTATTTATCACTTTTAAATTTGAATAGAGATATGGATATTATTAGGCGTGGATACAGAAGGAATGGTTTGAATTCTGATTTGCATTCGGATATCTGTTTGATTTTGGAGATAGCAGTGTGTACTTGCTTTATCAATTGTTTTTAGTAGAACAAAACCATTATGTACGCAGGGGTTTGAAACATGAGTACATGACAGAAAGACAATTCATAGAAAAAATAGCAATACTCCTTGTTACTAGTAGTAAATATGCAGCCTGTTCGGGAGGCCGTATCGTATCGTGTATTATTTACTGCTGGCTGGTTTGGTGTGAGAGAAAAACACTGTTTCGGGCTGGAAATTTACGATCATTTACGAGCAAGCGAACAGGCTGATGAATGCCCCGTTCATTTCGCTGAAATTGGTGGCTGCTGATGCTGATTTGTTATGAGAGGAAAATACGGTTCTTTCGATGAAAAATACTGCTGATGTAGTGTTGAAAAACAGAGTGAATAAATAAATACTCCCTCCTATCTAAAAAACATGTAATTCTAGGGTTCAAATCTTGTTTAAAAAAACATGTAATTATAAGTTGTGGTCGTCTTTTTTAGTGAGCCCCACCGAATAAAAAAAAACACGTCAGAAACCCATGGCCGACTGCTGTTGGCTGTTGCAGTGTTGCTGCTGCCGCCGACGATACGACAGGCACTGCGTCTGCGCTGCAGTCCAGTGGCAGTAGCCCTCTCCACTCAACACCACCGTACGGGGGCTCCTTTTCCTTTCCGTCGCCGCACAGGCGCACATGCCCGTCGTGGGCTACTTCACGTGACGGACATTATATAGCAGCAGGGCGCCCAGGGCAGGACCGCGAGTCACTCCACCAACCCTGATGCGACCGCCAATACCGTCGTTTCGTTAGGCCATGGCCATCCACAGTGTCTACAGCATGAAGCACCATGAAGGGAAGGCATGTTTGATCAGATTTTAAAACTCGATTTTTCGATAAAAAAAATATATACGATGTTTCTTCAAGTAGAATCTTCTATAATCCTAAGGTGTTTGGACGGGATTCTAGGATTTTGAGTTTTCTTTAATCTGAATTCTTAGAATCCTTATGGATCCAAACGGTACCTAAATTAAGATAGGCCCTGCAGCAAAATCGCAAAGTTCTAAACTAAGTGAAGGAAGTGTAAAACGATTCTGATCTGATTCTCAGCGCTGATATCCCGTTTGGAACTGTTTTCCCAAATCTCTCAATAAACCAAAACGGGTTCTCTCAACCAAACGGGACCTAGATTAAGCTTCTTTTTATTTTATGTAAGTTTATTTAACTATGCTATTATCATTTAAATTTAGATAAATCATGAAAAGTGATATAACGGTCTGTTTTGCCTGGCCAAGCAAGGAATCGGACACCGCTAGCTGTTTGGTTCATGTGCTTGAATTGCCTTGATTTCTGTGCCGGTAAGAAAAACCTTGCTGCCCCGAGAGAGCCAAAATGGCTCACTTGTCTGGCAAGCGTCTCATGGCGCGCCCTATCTAGGCGAGGCGAGGTGAGCCAAACCAGCAAAGCTTTCAAGCACGCTCAACGTTAATTTGGTGTCGTAAAAGTTAGTGTATTTTTTATATGGTTCAGATCATAGAAATTTGATTCACTATAAAGTTAAAATAAACTATAATTTGAACAGATGGAGTGATAACCAACAAAATAAAAAGAAAAATCTAGCCTACATGATCCATCAACCTTTTTTGCGAAGGGAAGAGGGATTATACTAAAGCTCGGCCTTTTTTGCAAAGGGAAGGATGATTATATTAAAGCTCGGCATAGTACATCCTCAAATTACACATGAAAAAATCTAAAATAAAGAATACATAATATGCTATCTAGCTTATTTGGTCGTCGTCTTCACCAATAGCTTCTCTTGAACGCCGGAGTTAAAGTGCAGTCCTTATACCGAATCCAACGACCAACCCCAAAACATTAGACATGGCCTATGTATTCTTCTTTCTCGTTCCCCTCTTCAATGCTACTGCCTCAACCCTTTAGGTTTTCTCATGAGTGATTCCTCTAGCGCACATCTGCGCATGTCTTTTGACCATGGCCCTCTCTTCACCGATCGTACAAGGATCCCTACACCTAGCCCCCACCCTGTTCGCTTGATCGTATCAGCCATGTGTCGGAGTTTCGGAACCGGGGGTCCTTAACCGACTAGTGAATTTGTGCTGCGTGCTCCCAATTCCGGATGGAGATGCAAAGAGACACAAGGTTTATACTGGTTCGGGCAATGGATGCCCTACGTCCAGTCTGAGAAGGTGTTCTTGTATTCCTTGCACCGGGGTGCTCGTAGTAGGGGGTTACAAGCTAGGCGAGAGAGGGAGTTCGTCCCGGATCTCTCGTGAGGGAGGTGATATCAAATTCTGAGCGAGGCATGTTGTTCGATGCGAGTATCTGTGATTCTATCCGTAAATCTGAAGCGGTCTGGTTGCCTCCTTTTATTATAGCGAGGAGGAAACCAGGAGTACATAAGAGAACTACGTGGAGCAAGGACTATTCGATGGCGTATCTACTCTGGAAGCGGCATGGCGTTGTCGTGGGAGTTCCATAGATGTCAATCGGTATGGTCTTCCTTTGTAAGTAACATCTTTGCGCATTTATTGACTTGGTGGATTTGCGAGAGGCTCGGCGGCCTTCGTGGCCGGTCGTGCCGAGGAACTGTCGTGCGAGGGCTGTTGTTGTGCCGAGGGCTGCCGTGCCGAGGGCTGTGTTGTCGAGAGGGATGGTCGAAAAAGGTGATCGACCGTTGTCCGTCGCTGTTGCGGCGCCCTTGCCGATTGTGGCTTACGTAGTGGGTGCGGCCGAGCGCGTGTCGGATGTGATGACTGCCGGAGAGACTTTTGAGGCGGAGGCGACGAGGTTGTGGAACGAGCCCGGCTTGAGCGGCGGCGAGGCGGACGATTCATCCGAGGCCCTTCCGAGGGGTCTCGGCAGGCAGGCGACGGGCGAGGCGGCGTAGTAAGATCGGTGAATCCGAGGCCCTGTCGGGGGGCTTGGGCTAGACAGAGTGGTCGGTCCAGCGATTCCGAGGCTCTGAGAACCCGTTCGACTCCCCCGTTGCGATGTCCTTGGTGCGGGAGTTAAGCGGCCACGGTGGTGGTAACCCCTCTGTCATGCCGTCTCGGATGGCGGGGGGTTAGCGCTTGACGGCGTGTAGCCGGTCACCGCCGTTCTGTGCCATCGTCGTCTGCCGGAGTGGTTGGGCGCTGGATGTGACGTTCGGTCGAGAAGTTTGGTCAAAAAAGGCGGTCATGGGGTTGGTGCTTGAGCCGGCCCTCGCGAATCGGAGAATCGGCACTTCTTCCGAGGCCCCGGACGAGGAGGCCTCGACGAGGGGGCCTCAACGCGGGGGCCTCGGCGAGGCGGTCTCGGGCGAGTCGGAGAACCGTTTGCTTCCGCTGGGGCTCGGCGACGGGGTCTCGGGCGAATCGGAGATTTCGGCCGAGACCTCGTTCATTTATTCCGTTGGTTACATTTTTAGGGTCCAGCGGTTTCTCGATCTTTGCTTGGGGTACCCCATTTTACGGTATCAAGCAGTAGCCCCGAGCCTCGGGCGGGGTGTGTGGATACTCTCCCGAGTTTTTGAGACTTTTGTTTCTCGGTGGCTTTTTGTCGGGTTTGTTTTATACTCATGATTACGGTGGGTGCTGTGGAAGCGCCTCCATGATGTCTTGAGCCCTAGAGGGTGAGTTTACTCCTTTAGGGGCTTTTTCTTCGTTGAGTAAGGCGCTCTATCGCATTTGCTTGACCCATGAGAGCGAGCTCGGGTCGCTTGTTTGGGGTGCGGGAGGAGCACCCAGAGCTGCTGCCGAGCCCTTGCGTGCGATCCTAGGTCATTTGGGTCTCGGCAAGGTTTGCTTGGGAAGACCCCCGAGCCTCCGCATGGAGCGAGAGGCGGTCAGAGTTCTTCGGTTTTTATGCGACCCTCGCGCATCCTTTTCGTTCGGAAGGAGGGTTGTTTGCGAGCCCTTGGCGTGCGAGCCTAGGCCATTGGGTCTCGTCAAGTTTTGGGAAGAGCCCCCGAGCCTCCAGCGTGGAGCGAGAGAAGCGTCGGGGAGTTCCCCGGCTTTTATGCGACCCTCGCGCTTCCTTTTCGCTCGGAAGGAGGGTGGAACATGCTAGGCTACTCTCGGTGGGAAGCGGCGATGACATTTCCGGTGAGCTTTTTATCGGGTAAGTCCGAGTGGAGGCCCGTGCCCCATTCGATAGGGGTCGGCTAGTGGTCCAGAGATGCGCTCCAAAAAAGTACCAGAAGGCTTCTCTAGCGGGTGTGGGGGCGTTCGATTGGCCCTAGGGGCTCGGTGCCTCCCTACGGTGGGATCCCCTTTAGAGAACTCCTGCTTTGGTCTCGGACATGACTCGGGGCATCCCAAGCAATCGCTTTCCCTAGGCCTCGGCCATGTGCAGGCTCGCCCATAGTTGTCCCACGACTCTGTGAGGCGCATAAAGGCGGTGTCGAGACCATAAATGGCCCTGACCTTGAACCTCTGGACCGTAAGGGCTCGGTGCCCTTTTTCGTCGTGTTTTCCGATCCTCGGGGTGTACTTCTCGGCAAGGTTTGCAGGAAGAGCCCCGAGCCTCCCTGCACGCAGCGAGAGGGCGTCGGGAGGTCCCCCGGCTTTTATGCGACCCTCGCGCATCCCTTTCGCTCGGAAGGAGGGTTGCTTTTTGCCGAGCCCTTTGCGTGTTTGAGCCTAGGCGAGCCCGCTGGGTCTCGGCAAGGTTGCGGGAAGAGCCCCGAGCCTCCAGCAGCGGAGCGAGAGGCGATCGGGAGTTCCCAGCTTTTTGTGCGACCCTCACGCTTCCTTTTTCGCTCGGAAGGAGGGTGGAACATGCCGAGCTACCATCGGTGGGCGTGGCGGTGACATTTCTGGTGAGCTTTTATCGGGTAAGTC